TTAGTTTTCTTTTTGTTAGTTGTAGGAGTTAGAGATAGAAAAAGTTTGGAAAAATAAAAAGAATTTTTTTTTAAGTTTTCGATTTTTCCCGATGATGGATATCATCCACATGTTTCTTGAGGGATTAAAGTCGAAGGGAAAAGACAAAAATATTTTCTTTTGTTAGGTAGTGTAACAAGTCCCCCTTGTTTTTTTGTGCCGCAGTTCTTTTCTAAGGGTTTTATTTGAACCGGGTGTAGTTAGTCTTTTTAGGAGTAGGAACCCTTGTGCTATAATTTGAATTGAAGGAAATATCTCTTGACTTTATTATACCTTGAGAATAGTGAGTGCTTTAGTTGTGACGCTTAGGCTCAATTTTTGACTCTTGCATAAATACCTTAAATTCTATGATCTTAACTTTGCTTAACTGCTTTGACTAGAGTGTCTTGATGAATCCGATCCTGAGTGAGTTATGTTCCAGGTGTGTGTGTTTTGTGTTATTCTGTGCATTAAATTTGATTTTTAGAACTTGCCCCGTGTGTTTGCAAAGCGAAATAGTAGTTTTATTCAGTCTTGGAAGTGATATAGGCGTTTCTTTGTTGAGCTAGTTATATGCTTTTACCCACCTACTTGTTATGTATCTTAGTTAATCCCTTTGACCCTGTAAGCTTGTTTCATTGGCAGTCACATTACAAGCCTTACTCATTTGTTTGAATTGACCATCTATTTGAACCTTTAACCTCTCGTGAGCACTTGAATTTTTTATGAACTTACTAAAAGTTAAAGTTTGGGGTGTTAGTTTGGCTTTTGAGTGAAACTATTGAAATAGGAGAAAGGTGCATTATTTTGAAAAAGTAAGAGCCACTTGAATTGAAAAAGAAAAGGAAAAAAAGTAGTTGTCTTGTTTCTAAAAATATTCCTTGATAGTGGTAATTCTTGATGTATTTGTGCTTAAAGAAGTTGGGAGTAGATGTGTATTGATGTGAGGGTGGAGTTATGGTTTGATAGAAGTGTGAGGTTTTGAATGGTTAATTGTATGTATTAAAGTTCTTAGGGATGTGTAGTCACTCTTATATCCAAATGCTCCTACCTATCACGCAGTTTACATTACAACCAAATAAAGTCCTACTTGATTCTTGACTGAATGAGATCAATTAGAAGAGTAGTACACTACAGGCAAGCCTATGGTACGTCTTTTGTGGCACATGAATGTTGCTTCTGAGAGTGCACGAATTCTTTCTATTTTGAGTTCCTAATTGCTCTTACATTTTATTATGTGTGGAACTACTCTCTATTGTTGTTTGAGGGCACTTGATTCACGAAGCAAAGGTAATGTTATTGACCTCTGTGTCAGAGTAAGTGAGAGGGTGATAAAAAATATGTGGTGCTTTTGAGTCAAATCTTGAGGTGAGGATGTTACGGTATTGTACTTAATCTGTTTTAAATATTCTTGGTGTGATGAGTTAGGAGAGTTGTTTAACAAAAGGTCATGTCTATGTGAAGTGTAGTTTGATTGCTCGAGGACGAGCAATGATATAAGTGTGGAGTGTTGATGGTAGGCTATAATCCCGTATTTTAGTCGCTTATTGCACTCTAATTCATTGCACTTTACTTGTGTTGAGCTTTAATAGGTAGTGTTTTGTACTAATTGTGTGTTTTATGCTTTGTAGGAAATGATGCCGAGTTAAGAAGATGTTCTGGAGCTAATGAAATAACTGGAGCTTTGAAGTCTGAGTAAAAGCCAAGAAATTAAACCAGGATCACGTCCGGGGCTCGTGGACCGGCATTGCATACGAAAGTTGGAAGAAAGAGCAAGGGCTAGAGCAAAAAAGTACTAGTGCGTTGCATAAGGCGTGGCATTAAGTGTCACATTAGTACAAAATTTCATTAGAAGCTTGAGAAGTTCATATACTTAGTGTTTTTGTGTCTAACCGAAAAATACAATAATTCTAGGCATAGTGCGTGGCATTGTGCGTAGCATCAATACAAAATTTTGTCAGACAAGCTAAGTTTAGAGAGATTACAACCGAGCAAATTACACTAATGCTAAGCACCCTGCGTAGCATAGTACGACGCATGAAGTGTAAAAAGTTTGTAGGTTTTTCTGCTTCGGCTCAAAGAGGGTAGTTTTGTCCGGGTTCATTCCTACTTGGTATAAATACACTAGAAACACGTTTTTGAGAGAACTTTTGATATACTTTCGACCTAAGGACGCTAAGGAAGAGGGGAAAGAACACAAGAACAAGGATTTCATTATTCCTTCCTCACTCAAGACCCGAGTTTGGATCGAATTTATGTTTTCCTATACTTTAATTATATTTGTGATGAATTTTTCCATATCTATGGAGTAGTTCCCTTTAGGGTTTGATGGATTTGGTGTATTGATGATTGTTTGTGGATTATAACTTTAGTTTTATGTATTGAATCATTTTGGAAGATTTAATTATTGCATATATATTCACTAGTTCATATAATCAAGAGAGACATAATTTGTGATATCTTTGCATTATATTGTTGGTTGAGTTCATAGATTCTTCTAAGTAATCGAAAGAGGCTAGTTGAATCATTGATTAAACCTAGTTAAGAGAATAATCGAAAGAGGCTTTCCTAAAGCCAATCCACTATGCATTCTTGCATATTTTCACGTGCTTAAAATTGATTCATCTCGTAAGGTTAAGACTTAACTGAGAGAGGAGTTTTTTCTGAACATTTGAACTAATAATTGAGTGAATTCAAGAGACTCACTTGAACATTAGAAGTGAAATATCTAGAGTTAGATCCCGAATAACTATCTTGCACCTATCCTGTCAAAACCCTATCTTCTCTCACCGATAACCTTATTTGCTTATTCCTTGTATCGATAGTCACTAGTCAATAGCTTTTGATTCTTAGCTAATGTTAGTTATTAATCATTTAAATCTCAACTGTTGATCCTCTGGATAGCAATCAAGCTAGAAACTACGAGAATACTGTTTAAGTCCAATCCATATGGATACGATATTATATTATACTATCTTTGATTAGCGAGCATAATTTAAGTGTGTGTTTTGCGCTCGTCATATTATAAACCTATACTCTTTTGTTCTTAGTTGAATTATTTTGATCCTTTTACCTTTTAAAGCACTTGAATTGTAAACATGAGCGCTAGAAAAAATAAGGAGGAAACTTGGGTAATGATTGAGTGGAACCAATAAAAGAAAAAATGTGGCACTTGTATTTTAAGAAAAATACCACTAGCAGGGAGTGCAAAGTACAAAAATAATTATAGAAAAAAGAGAAATAATTTGCAAATAAGAAATATGGCAAACGAAATAAGTACATCTTGTCCTTGCTGGTAAATGTAAGTTAAATTAGTGCTTAAAGAATGAGAAAATGTTTGGGAGTGGCCTTGCTTGGTGAAGTTTAAAGTTGGGTTGAAGAAAGTTACGCTTAAAATTGACTATGTGATGTCTTAAAGTGCTAAGGAGGGTTAGCCACTATTATCCAAATTTATGTTATCCGTCCCTTAGCCCATATTATAATCCTGACAAATTTCTAACTAATTTTAGACTGAGGGGGCCTATGTTAGTAGAAATTTACGTAATGAGCAAGCCTATAGTATTCTTTGCGAGAGTGAGTGATTTCTTTCGTATGTGGGAATCCTCAAAGTACATTAGAGAATTTGATATAAATGTGTGGACTGCTTACACTTTTTGATTAGGTTTACCAGATCTATTGGAACGGTTTACATTCTAATGGACGCCATTTGTGTCCTATTGCAACGGTTATGGTAGGCTATTGTAACAGTTCATTTAATACAGAAATATAGCTCCTATTGTAAATATATATATAATAACACTAAAATTTATATAAATCACAAAATGAAACTATTAATAATATAACTCGTCCAACAGACTAATAATATCCATAAAAGTAAGGGGTAGTTTGGTAGGATGCATTAGATAAAATAATGCATGCATTAGCTTTGTGTATTAATAATACCATGTTTGGTAGACATTTTGAACTTATGCATTAGTTATGCAAGCATTACTTATACATCATATTTGGTATTATCCTATGCATAACTAATGCATAGAAAACCATGATATTAGCAATGCAATGAGTTTTAATGTATGCATTAGCTTAGTTAAAGACAAAATTGTCCTTCAAAATTTATGCTCGATTAAAATATGCTAGTTATTATATTAATGCAAGTTTAAAATAATCCAAATAGTGAGAAATAAAATTATAGCTCTATTAAATAAATAAATACTTAACATATTTCTTTTTTTATAAATCGATATAGGTAGACAAATCAAATAATTTTTTTTAAACTTTTTCATATAAAAACATTTCTCAACATGTCTCTTTTAAAAAGTTAGAGTGATGGACTGGTTTTGAGGGCATTTTTGTAAATAAGCAATTTTTTAAGAAATTGTGCAATGCTTTAATACATCAAACCAAGCAATGGATAAGAAATATGTCACCATAACTAATACCAGCATAGCTAATGCAAGCATAACTAATACCAGCATTACTAATACACCCTATTGAGCATTATTCTTATGCACCCTACCAAACGACCCCTAAATGTTCTACCCCAAGTGCATAAGTTTAATACATTTCAAGATAGTAAGTTTCAAAATGTTGACAACAAAAGATTCCTAGAACATTCATCTATAGCAATTCAAAATTCATCTCAAGTAAGCTACTAAAAAAGAACATATCAAATTAATCCCATTATAGGATTTAAAAGGAAAAGAAGCCAGTTTGCACAAATTTGGTTTTGTGACCTCTAGCTAATTGCAAATCTCGTCACTCATTACTGTCCGAAAAAGGTGTATGCTTAATTCCTGATATATGTTCCATCTTTAACTACCCTGTTTCTAATATGTCGCAATTAGAAGCATTGACACGGAAAAGAAACAGCACATCAATTCCTGGCTACTCAAAAGGCAACTGGAATCTTTTATTCTTTTGGAGAAGGTAAAGTTAGGAAACTGGAATCAAATGAAAGGCCTGTGATTCGCAGAAGAAATCAGGAAAGTGGTCGTTAAATTGTTACTGGACAAACCCCCAATCTAGTGCACCCAAAATATTATATATGTTGAGAAAGATCAATGGAACTAAACTTCTAATTAACAATGTATATAGTAAGCATTAGAAATGATTTTTGACCAACAAAAAAGTTGACATATCAGCATGAAAAATGTAATTATCTCCCAATATTTCCACTGATAGTCCCATCTTTAATGGAAGCTATGAGCTCCCAAAGTTCTTGAGGGGTAAGTTTAATCTCATTGATAGTCACTTTTTCATTTTTCATACATGCAGCAATATCACCCATAATCCAATTGGTAGCAAGCTTTACATCGGCACCCGCTGCAATTGTTGCATCAAAAAATTCTGCAATCTGAAACATCCAATTATTAATGGATTTTGGACATTTCTACAAATAAATAATTGAAAAAGTGAAGACTTGAGTAAATTAATCTGACATACTGCAGTAGTATGAAAACTAAATTTAGCATACCTGAGCACCTTCCTCCCATAGACGAGTTTCCTGTACAATTTGATCAACCTGGCCTTGGCTATGTAGAAGCACCTGTCTTGAAATTTCATAATCAATGGCCCTACTCACCGATGAGAAGGAGTTCAAGTTTTTAATTTTCACCTGATGCAAGATGAAATATATCAGTTCATCACATACAATGCTGACTTACCAATCTGCAAATTAAGCTAAACACTTATAGGGGAGAATTTCCAGCACATAGAAAAGCAACAGTAAAAAATTAACGCCAGATGAAGCAGAAACATGATCCATAAGGCAGAAGAATCCATGTTATTGACATGAAAGTTGCAATAATGGGAAAATTGCGGTCACTCTAGCAACAATTACATAGGATAAAGTAGTCATTCACTTAAAGCCTTGAATGGCATGTAATATGTATTTTAAGGAATTAAGAGAACACGAGAATTCATTTGCTAAACATCTCTATGGTTTCAAGTTTCTCCAGAGAAGGTGGTTTACACCAAATGAAACTGAAATGATGTTCATTCGAATATAAAAGGTCATTTTCGCTAAACTTGGCATGCAAATCTAGTCTCCTGTGGGACCAACCAGAGACCATGTTTCACATTAAAATGACAAGTAAAGTTCCTTACTAAGTTTAATGCTAACACAAGAATTTCATAAATAGTGAAACTGAACTTGCAGGTGTGGCTAAATCAAGTCGTCCACTGAACTTATTATAGAGGACTATTTAAGTCAACCTGCAACAGAGAGCCAAATAAATCAACAACCGTCTAAGAATCATAGTGAATCTTGAAACCATAAGGAATTCTTTATCAATAGAAGTAACAAGTATATTAGATCAAATAATCTAACTCCATTCACGCAAATATACAAATAAGTTACACAATTTGATATAATCATCAAAGGAACTTAAACATTACAATGTGATGCATCTGATAAATGCAAGAATGTGCTATCTGAAAGAAAGGGGCAGAAAATAGAAAACGAAGATGACGAGCACAAGATTGTTTAAATGAGTAAGGAGGAGTTCTTTCCTGCGAGTAACTCCCACCATCGGTATGAAGCAGCTTCCCTGCATCTTCTTCCATATGCACTCTGGTAACACCAAACTTTCTATGGCAACAACTTTACCAGCAACTTGAATTTGCAATTTCGACACAAACAAATCTCTTAAAAGTTATTAAACTTCTTCAAAGTTAGAGTTGTACACGAACATTAATAGAGGAAAATGGGAACTGTCTAATTTTCACATTGCAATCAGCAAGCAGACTACATTAGGACTATAGCCGTTGTGCTTGTATAATTAGCAGCTAGATAAATGAGCTCTAGCCCAAGGATGAAAATTGAACATACTTTAACAGCCTGAATTTATTCCTTAAAACGTAAACAAAGATGCACAAACGTTACAGGATCGAATAGTACTAACACTGTCCTGCCTAAAAGAGGCAGATATTTGCTTCTAGCTCAACCTCGAGATGATACAGCAAACGCTTTTACGAAGCACAGGATGGCATACCACGGCCTCTGCCTCTACCACCATAACCATAACCATACCCATTTCCTCCATTTCCTCCATATCCTCCTCTTCCATAATATGAACCTCGAGAACGTATACCACGTCCAGGACCACAACCACCACGGCCACCCCTGTATCTTGAGAAATCTCCAAACGTCTGCACCCATAAAACAAATTAGCTCATCGAAAAAGAACCATAGTCAGGAAAGTAACGCATAAGAATCAGATATACCTCAACGTCTATCTTCCTTTGCTTAGAGAATCTGATCCTTCCATGATTTGGGCCATTATCAAGTGCATTACTTGACAAAGAGTCGAAAAAATCATCCTTGTTGTAAACAGGCTACAGAAAGAAAAGATCTTAAACATAAATACAAAGCTAGGCAAGATATGTGAACAAGGGGTATGCATAAGAATTGAGGTCGAAGAGAATTTAAACCACCTTCACATCAATCTTAGGAAGATCATCATCATACTCATAAACAGCAGATTTCGAACTCAAGGCAGCCAAATCCAAACAGCAATAACAGATAAAGTGAAGTAGTCATGATTTTTCATTAAACCAGATCTGAACAAAATACAGACGTAAGAGAAGATACCTACTGGAGCAGAAAAGGTACAAAACAAAGCCAAATAAAGGCTGGAATCAATTCGAGTGGAGCTCAGCGAGGTATCCAGCAATAAACAGCAGATTTCGAACTCAGTTTTCAGCTTGAGAGAGGAATGGCGGCTCCTAGGGTTCAAAATGGGAGGAGCGTTCTGTCCGTCTCTACTCTTCGGCGGCGGCTAGGTTTTTTCATCAAGCGGAGGGTATGGTTTGGTGCGAGTGAGGGAATGGAGAAGAAGAGGTCGGCGGTGTTATTGAGCCATCTCCTCGTAATTTCCGATGAAACTGTAGCTAAAATGAATTAGGGGTTTATATCTATTTGGTATTTTATTAGTTATAAAAAATAAAAATTAAAAATCAGACTGTGGGCCCCCTCATTTTAGCGGGTAATAGAAAATTTGGGTGAAAAATAAGGAGAGAATTAAATGACTGTGACAATATTTATCCCACCGTTACTATAGATATATTTATTGCAACGGTTATACAAAACGTTGCCATATCTACCTCTATCGGAACGGTTTTAAGACTATTGCAACGGTTCGGTTGAAAAGTGTCCCAGCAGTTTCCAATAATAACCGTAGCAATACACCATCTATAGCAACGGTTACTGATCCGTAGCCAAAAAAAGCGTTGTCATAGCTCCAATTTCTAGTAGTGATTTCACGATACATAGGTAAAATTATTAAATTTTTTGGTTAGGGCAGTTGTTCAAGCCAAAAGTGCATTATGTCATTGAGTTAGTTTTTTAGGCTGGTTGTTTTGAGCATGTTGTCTAAGTGTTTGAATATTTTTAAAGTTTGACATAAGAAGAGGGAAATGTCTAGAGAATACATATATTAGAGTTTAATTGTTGCTATCAATCATGATGATAAGTGTAGCTAGTGTGTTTTGAATGGTAGAAGCTTGATTTTGTTTCGTCTATTATAGTTGTGGTTTGTTCGAGGACGAACAAAGGTTTAAGAAGTTGGACATATTTGTATACGTTTTGTTAGTACCTTACTCGCATTTTTGTCCCTTTTTTAATATGCCCAACTTAACTTGATTATTGCATTTTATACTTATCTTTAAAGATGGAAGTAGAGAGTAAAGCGGATATTTTGAAGTGTATTTTAAATGATTGGCTAATGATTTTGGTATACGATCAAAGACACATGACATGCAAAGAATACAATTTAATTGACAAATCCCAAATCACATCAAGACAGTCGAATACAAACAGAAAGGAGGAAGTCTTAAGGATTACGTGGGCATGGATGAGACTAAGTGTTAGCTGATGTTCATTACAAATGAAGTGTTAATTGGAAATAAGAGTTTGGCATCCCACCACTACCAAGAATAGAGTTAGACAAGGAACAATTGAATTTACAAGCAAATTGAGATCATCAGCGATAGGCAGCGCGAGGCTGCTATTTCACGGCGCCTCTTAGACCGCGAGGCCGAGGTTGGCCATCGCGATAGGCAGTGTGACGCGCCAGCGTCCAGTTCCGATGCTATTCCATCTTCTTCTTTTTTTTTTAATTTTACTAGGTTATTTCATCGAGATTTTTTTCTATATCTATAAATACTCACTAAATACGATTTTTATATTACTTTTTATCGAGAGACACGGAGGAGCCATTGTGGAGGACAGAGTTCATTGGTTTTTATATTTTTTCTACCAAACTTAATAATTTTTATGTTTCTTTGGATGATTTGTCGTTTGGCTACCACGTCTATGTGGAGCTAAAATTCACGTTCTAGGGTTTTAGTTCTTTCATGACTATTGTTGTTTCATTTGATTTATCGTATTGATTTATTTATTCAATTTCAAGATTAATTAGTTGATTGCTGGATCACCAATTGAATACTATCTACGAATCTGGAATTGAACTCGAAAATGAAAATTCAAGATTGCACATAGGATTGAGTAGAGAAAGTTCTTGAACCTGGAATTTTGGGAATAGATTTGTTGGTTAGAATAGACATATACCTAATTGTTTTGCTTGGTTATTATATAGAAATTATGAACGCATTCTTGTTGATTCTAATTTCATAGACATATAGGCGATAGGTTAGCTTGAATAGGCAAGTACAAACTCAACAAATTCCTATGAGCAATATTAACCATGTCAACCAATAAACAAGATAAAGTAATTAATCAATTCAAGCGAAGAATATAATCGAATTGTTAGATAGCCCATAACATAGATCGTTTTCATCACATTGACAATATAAAAATATGCTCTTCCTTTATTCAGAATTCACTAATTTTTTTTTACTTTAATTAGTTTGGAGTCAAATACTTCTAAGTTTAATTCTTATTTAGATAATCAGGATAGTCTAATTTAGTCAATAGTTGATAACAAGTCCTCGTGGGAACGATACTCTACTTATTATTTTATTACTTGTCTATCGTGTATACTTACGTGTACATTTGCTCGAACAACTATACATTAATTTCTTAAAATTTTGCGCTTACATGAGTCATGTCATGGGCGGCTTTCCAGCCATGCCCCATGACCCCATGGACGCGCCCCATGGTGTCCTGGCAAGCCTCCCAACACCTAGTGCCATGGACGACCCTGTGGTCTTGGCCACGTCAAGTGACAAGTGCGCCTGTCCTATGTCGCCCCATCGATAGCCCTCGCCAGTGCCTAGCCGCAGAAAGATGCCAACAGCATCACGGGCGCAAAATCTGATGTTAAAGACAAGGTTGCCGCCAACGGACCTGCCTCTACCTTGTAGTCTTTTTTATTGTAAATATAGAGTAGTTTTACTTCCTGTATTTCCATTATGTCTCTCTAGCTTAGTTATGTCAAGTCCTGTAACTTTAATTTTTTTTAGGCAGAATAGCCTGGGAGATACTTGTACTAGTTTCAGATTGTCATCCCGGTCTCTATACTCCATAAAGTTTCATCCAAATACCTCAACTTGATCAACATAAGACTTTTAAACCCTTCTGACAGTTGATCGAGCTTATGTGGCATTGATATGGCTGAAGTGGAGAAAATGAGTGACTTACATGCACATTCGGTGCGTGAGTTGATGATTTTTCTTTATTAAAAAAATACAAAAAATANTCTATTTTCCTTCTTCTTCAGATCCCCTCCCTTCCCCTTTTTCTTCATCTTTCTTCATCGTTTCTTCCATTAGATTTTCTCCTTGGTGTGTTTCTTCCATCATGTCATATTCCCCTTCTCTAAGGCTCCTCTATTTTTTTTGGTGGTCTAAGCTTTTAAATTTTTTCACAACTCTTCCAAATTGGGGTAGAAGAATAAGTCAAAATTCAAAAGAATTAATTATCTGCTCATGTATTTTTCAAGAGGATTTTTCATAGATACATAACTTTCTTTAAAAGAGGAGTGAAGGTGAGATTATAAGAAAGAAGAACTCATATTGGAGGTGGTGGTACTCATGGTAGAAGAGCCATGGCAGGTGGCCTTATTCTTTTAAGAGGGTTGAGTGGGTGGATTTGAAGAAGGGAGGAGGGTTTTTCTTTAATTTTAATTATTTGCTTTTCTTTTTTTATTTATGAAATTAAAATTTTGTTAAATAATATTACTTTGGCATAGAATCTGATGTGGATGCTAATTTGTCATCCACATCAAGCAAGTAAGCATCACACAAATCCGAAGGAGTTTAAAAGTCTTGTTTTGATTAAGTTGAGATGTCTAGATGAAACTTTATGGATTGTAGGGACCGAGATGATAATCCGAAATAAGTACAAGTGTCTCCTAGGCCATTCTGTCTTTTTTAAGCACTATTAAGGGGGATTAGTCAAACTTTCAAGCAAAAAAGGAATTCTTTGTATTGGTGTCCCCCCCCCCCCCCCCCCGATACCATGTTGCTTTTTGTAATAGCTTTCATTAATGCAATCAAGCTTTCTTTCATTCTCTTTCTCTTTTCTATTCTCTCAGTTGCTCTTGACATTGGTTTTCCTGTTCGGCACTGACAATATCGTCTAGTGTAAGGAAGGTACCCCAATTGGCGGATAGTAACAGCACGGACATTGATTTCTTAGTTTTATGTGTCCCTTCCAAGAAATCTCTAAAAGGCGTTGCGTAATAGTTGGTATCAGAGCCTAGGCTCGACATCGAATGAGGGACACATTATCATTACCACCATTTATGATCATGGTGAATCATGGGGACTGCATTACGATCCTTAAAGAGACGATTAACATATAACAACCCATCATAAATACGATGATTGATCTAAGAACTAGCCTAGTGCAAAGATTGGATGACCTAGATAGCTAGAAGCGGCAGGTCAAAAGTGAGATTGCAAACATCAGTCGCGACTCTGAAGGAGACCGGCAAACAACACCCATAGAGGCAACCAAAATTTTCAGTAAATTCGAGGGCCTCCAACAGGAGCAGACTAAGGATTTAGCTTATTAGGCACAAAAGGCAGACAGGGTGACTACCATGCAACATACCATAGACAACTTGACAGGCCAACTCAATATTGTCAATGATGCATTATAAGGCCTACTTCGAGGAGGCGAAAACTAGATCGGGGGTGCCGTGAACCTCGCCGCCCTTGTGCCACAAAAGTTAAAGATTCCTGAGTTAAACCCTATACTGAAAGTATGTGCTGCACTCTTTTTCTCTTTGACCAGTTTTTGTCCCAATCAGAATTTTTTGGCAAAGTTTTTAGTGAGGCAACAATGTAAAGCATACTACGAAGGAAGGATCAATAGCAAATGCAAGACTTTTAATATTAGAGCCTAACGTTCTTCCACTGATTGATGACCATGAGCTCATGTTGTAAACAGCTTGTGGATGATTAAATAATCTTTGATTCGATGGTGAATCTCGCCTCCCAAAACTCAAACAGATTATTTAACAGTTTACAAGTTGTCTCCACCAATGAAGCAATAGTATAACGTATAAAATGAAGGAAAAGGCCTTTGGTGAATGCAAGACTTTCAGTGTTTGAATTCTCATATTTAGCATTCGAACGCTGGGGGGAACTAATATATGTTACAGCACCAAGAGTGCCATGCCGACCGACAATTGTTAGAACTAGGATCAATATCTTATTAGGACCGGAGACTGCATGATCAGCCCAGTAAAAATAAGTTGTGCAAGTTAGCCACATGTATTGGTAGGGTTATTTACTTAAGTAAATGAATATTTATGTAAATGTACTTTTAAAGATAGAGAGAATAAATCAAAGTCCTTTTATTCTTATCTTATTTCTTGTCCAAATGATAAGTTAATTTTATCATTTGAGAGTTAACAAAAACTTCAAATTCTTGTGTAATGAACATGAGACGTCCTCTTCAAGAGCACCGCAAATA